TAATTAATTAATTACGTTGCAAGGAAAAAATTAAAAAAAATTTTTAGTACTCGATTTCGATTGATTATTCCTTATATCATTGATTAAGAAACTCAACGCTTAAATGTTTATATAGTTACGTTAGTGTGTGCATTTTATGTAAGGAATCAAGGTGAATTATTGTGTTTTTAATTGTAAATAAAATTCAAGAACTAAATCGTTGCATTTTCATGTTTTGCCAAAGACTCCAATTCGGTAAGTACATTTGTTGGTGCAGAATTAACTAATGATAACTTAACCTAATATAATTTATATTTAAGTTTGGACATTTTTAAGAAAGAAGTAAATAATAATTTTTGCACAAACATAACCAACCATTTTTATATTTGAGTTCTCTAAAAAACGCCGACAACTGCATTTTAAACAACAAAATATACCTACGAATTCACGGCACCATAATATTATATATAATACATAATATAATGGTATTTTACCGTTGAGTGGAGACTTTCTTAATCAACGCTTTTAATAATGCTAAATGCTGTTTCAATTTAGACGACTTATTTGTTTGACGATTTTTACTGAATTGAAATGTTTACGCTTTTTACGTTAATCACTACTAAAATGTGTATTTATTGTATCTAATAGGTACAATTTATATTTACAGAGACTGTATGCAATTTATTTCTTCATTCAGATTAACACTGTTTATTGGAAAATCGGTAAAAACTCAACCCAGGATGTTAACTAATTGAATAAGTAATATCATAACAAATTTTTTCAAACCTATTTGTATAATATATATATTATATAAAGTAATTTTTGTTAACAATGGAACAATTTTTTGACATTTCACCGTAGGTACTATAAAACGACCGGACCGCATTATGTAGTTTGTAAACTAACTCGTTAGGATATAAATTCACTGTTTCACTCTTTGTTTCTTTGCAAACAAACGCTTTTGTAATTAGTGTGATTTCGGCGCGATAATGGCGCTTTTAAGCGCAGTCTTGGTTAGCTTTAGGCGGTGTATAATATTCAAACTAAGTTGAACTTAGTCAGTGTGTCTGTGTGTTTGTGTGCGAGCGTGTGTGTGAATAGGTACATTGTTTAATACTAACCGCGGTGCAGTATCTTGCACCGCAATAAATCGCTCGTAGTATTAATGCTAAGTCTCGTGGTAAATCCAGGCAAGCAAGCCCTACACATACGTTACCTGTATGTCTGCTTTAGTAGGTAGTTAGGATGCTAAATAAAACTGTGCTGATGAAAAATACATCGTATATAGAATACAATTGTACATATATAAAATATTTATTAAAAAATCTACTTACTGAGATATTACACTTCACGGTGGATAGGTTTTTAAATAGCAAATTAATGAACCTAAACTTTTGAATTATAAAACAGCAACACTCTCATCTGCATATAAATTCTAACTGACCTTCAGGAATCACATGCATCTATAATGTCGTAAACAGAGGTTTTTGCTTATTTAAAATGATTAAAGCGCCATCCGTTGCATAAAATTTAAAGCAAAAACTGATTCACGGAGGATAGATTTTAGACTTTTAAAACATTGTAAAAAATAATTAAACATTTCGTGAGATATAAATAAAATAAATAAATACAATGAAAAAAAATCGTATGTAGCACTTAAGCTGTCCCGTCACCTACTAGAAAGCACAATGGAACGGCAAAGTATCGAAGACTGGCAATGACAGGTGTTGAATGTGGCGGCGGCTGTGGCCATGGCGGTAATGGTAGGGTCCCGAAATACATCGCAATCCGATGATCCTAGCCCCAAGCTGACCAAGCATACGCGTAATATCGGGAGCATAGTTAGCAAATATTCAAATATTAATTACAAATTTAAAGAAAAAAACACTTTATTTTAAAGTATCGCAGGTAACACTAGTTTACAAAATAACTCCAGTTTGAATTTTTTTTCTTGAAGCTGACATTTTTACAAAATAAACAAGCTTATGTTGATAGAAATACATGGAAGAATGGCGAAGTTATGAATTTTTTATTGGAAGACCAAAATTCATCTTTTTGACAATTTTTAATTTTTTTTATTTTTTTTTAATAAGTTTAGACTTTAGTGAAAACCTAAATGAAGGCTATGGAGCGGCGGTATCACGGCTTCTGAGATGCAGCCATGATGGGTGATTACATTTGGTCCCTCATACGAGAAACGGAATACGAAAGCAACAAAAAACAATGCAGCCAGAATTTTTTTAAACCCATGCTTATTACAACAAAATAAAACTTTTCATTTCTTCACTGTTCAATATTTATGCTTATATTAATAAAGGGTGTTTATGTTGAATTATAAAATAGCAATGAGATTAAGAAAAACTGATTTTTTTGCTTTATTTGATACAATGTTTCTTCCGATTAAGTATGGAAAATGATTTTATTTAAGTGGCCACCTCAGCTGGCTCGGCAGTATCCCATCCTGGAACACCAATTTTCGAGCACTTTGTCAAAACTTTGCTGCTCTATTTAGGCAATTTGAGCTTGAATGTTTTGTTTTAAATGGTGAATAGGCTTTGTTACAGCGACGTGTGGATTTTCCGTGGCCCAAATCCTACAGTTTTGCTTGTTGACATAACCTCCGAGGTAAAAATGCGCCTTATCCGAAAAGATGATTTTTCTTGCAAAATTAGGGTCATCGTTCAACTGGTTTAAAGCCCACTCAGCAAAGCAAAAACGTTGTGGATGGTCAACTTGCTTTAACTCCTGAACAAACATACCAAGGTCTTTGTGCAGAATCATCCTCAGAGTGGTCATGCGTACATTTTCGGCCACAGCAGCAATTGCTTCAGGTGTACGTCTAGGACGGGCATGCGAAACATGTTTTATGTCCACCAGCATTCCATTTCTGCGCGATTTTTTGATCAAATTTGTAATACTTTGGTTTGACGGCGCCTCATTTCTTCCAAACGCAATTTTCTTGCCGTCTCTGCGATCACAGTCACATTCAAAGTAAGTTTTGAGTATTTCGAAACGTTGATCCAAATTTATTCGGTGCATATTTTTTAATCGGAAGGTTAAAACTAAACCACTGTCAGCAATTCATGGCGCTTAAGTTGAAAGCTTCATTAATAGCACGTAGTTTAAAATTCAACTTATAGATGGCCCACCCTTTTTTTAATACATAATTTAATTTCAATATTTAATGTTTAAAATAAAAATCAATGTTCTAATGTGTTTCAGTGGAATTAATTTAAAAGGCTTATTGAACAAAGTATTTTGATTTTTTTAATGATTTTTTTATGTTTGATAATAACTTTAATGAATTTGACTGAAATTGAAGTAAAAAATGCAATTATGATTGATCAAAAAATGAAAAAAGATTGCTCACAAAATCCTTCTTCTTACGCCACTGTCCGGAAGTAACACATTGATCTCCCGGGGGTGTTGGAACTTGCCACTTCGGACATTATCCCCAATTCGCCCCCCCTCCTCCACCTCCTGTTCGTCCTGTTCATGGTGGAGGTAACTTGTCGTGTCCCTCGAAACGCTTACAGCAAAGTAGACAAGAAATCAGCCCCTTTCACATTCCACCGACCCCCGCATTTTCACCGCCGAAACCGAAAAGGTTTCCACATTAAAATCTCATAATGACGTTTAAATTTATTTGACCGTCGTACGTTTCTGCTTGATAAAAATTTTTATACGATTTTGCACCTGGACGCATATTATACACTGTTCAAAATTTCATGACCATTTTAACACCAAATTAACACCATACATGGTCTATATCGATACAAACGAAAATGGTGTTAAATATGGTTCGTTGGTCCAGTGTATTTTACCTGGTGTAAATTGAATAATAATGTGTTTTTGGTCAAATTAAATCATACTACACAGAAAAAAGGAAAAAAAAGAAACAGGAAGTTCCTTGACGCATTACAAGTATATTACCAGTGGTATTATTCCAGAAAATTGAACCTTCAACTCGCTAGAGATAATGTTTTTAGTGCGTTTCACCAACTTAAAATACTTCAAATATTGACAGCTGTTTCCACCTATTTAAGGTCTCTTTAGTATCGAACAACTTGTAGTGTCACACCAAAGCAAAGGACTACCTGACTTTGACACCATTTTAAGATTACTCTTCACACCACAGATATTTTAAACAGTGTAATAACCATTAACCAACCTTATCAACTTTTGGATAATATTAATAAATATAATGCCCAAAATTTATTAAAACCCAACTTTCTTTCGATTTTAAAGATCTGTTAGACAGTTCCAACCTAACTTTTTCCCAATTAAACCCGATTGGTTCTAATCACAGTGAATATGGAAATCAGCCAATCACTGATGCCTTAAAACGTGAATAATGGGCTTGCTGGGCGGTATAATACGAGGTGTGCTCAAAAGATATCGGGAATTTTCGTTTTTTGAAACAAATATTTATTTATTCGTCTACATTAATGTTGACGCCTTCAAAATAGAATATTATGCACATGTGCCAGCTCTTCTTCCAATACTCGAAACACTTCTAAAACTCGATCTTTGGGATAGCCTTTAGTTCTTTCAGCGATGCGCTTTTAATGTCATCTATGCTTGCAAAACGACGGCCCTTTAAGGTTTTCTTTATTTTTGGGAATAGGAAAAAGTCAGACAGAGGCATGTCTGGCGAATATGGAGGCTGGGGCATCATTACAGTATTGTTTTTGGCCTAAATTTTTGTTCAAAATTTAACTTTTTCAGAACAAATTTTGCTGCCACGCGTTTCATACCCAAAAAATTCGAAAAAATTTCATGGGATGAGCCAATCGATATACCAACATCATCAGCGACTTCTCTGATGGTTTATAACCATTTCTTCCACTTTTTCCATGTTTTTATCGGTTGTTAATGTGCTTATGTGTTCGGGGCGTTCGTCATCTTCAACGTCTTCACGGCCATCTTGGAAACTCCTATACCACTTGTAAACTCTTGTTTTACTTATAGCAGACTCACTATGGGCCATTGTTAACATTTCACAGAATTTATTTAATTTTTTAAGCAAAATTGGATACAAATTCTTTGATCCATTTCTTTTAACGAACGAAAAATCGCCGAGCTCATAAAACACGTCTAACCTTAGCGGCTGCCACGGACAAAGTAAACAATGAAAACAGCTAAAGTTTTTATCATACTTCGGGGGCATTTATACCAACATAATAAAGAAAATTTTATGACAATCGAACCCTCTGAACCCGCGAAATTTTATAATTCCCGTTATTTTCTTAACACACTTTGTATACACGCAAACAGATTTACGGCTGATAATATAGCAAACTACAATGTACGTAACTTAGAGGTAGGTTTTTATTAAAATTAATTTAAACAAAACAATAACTTAATATTACATATTTTAACCTCCAAAGTTGTGGGTGAATTGCAATCCAACATTGGCATCAGGTCTCGTATTTCCCCACTTGGTGAAACTTTGACTGGCTCCTCCAAACGCCTCCAATTTGGTATTTCTATCGGGAGCCCAAAGGGTACGGGAAGCCTTAATGTCGGCTTGCGTGCCCCAGCTGGGAACATGGGTGGCTGAAGCTTTAATATTCGTATCTGTAATCAAATAATTGTAAAACTGCTTTCTGTGTGATTATTGTAGTATGTTACCGGATGGTATGTGATGGTACCCGATGGATCCTCCTCCTACCAATGGTCCGTTGGGGTTGAAATTTTTACTGGCGTGTCCACCACCAATGATCTCGTGATTACCTTTTGCCCAAATCGTTCCTTCTTGTCCTAATTGCACGTTGGTACCTCCCGGACCTTTTGCCACGTCCCAGGTTGTGTCTCTGCGCAAATAAAACCATAAACAATCATTGTTAAGGTGGTAACACTGTATTTCTTACCTTTTTTGTCTTTGCATTGGCACCAAGTAAAACTGTTGTCCATAATCATCCTGGAAGATATCCAGTGGAAGGGCTGAAGCCCAGGCCAAAAAGGCAACAAACACTAAATATGATTTCATTGTGTTGGTACTCGAGGAATTGACTTCGAATGATTTAAAATTGAATTTCATCGGGATTATATATAGTAGTTGAGAAGTTTGAAATTGGGAATTACTTGATTTGTTTTTCCCCGTATTGTTACGAAGAATACATTTTGTTTTATCAGTGTGAGAATAAGTTTTGTAACCTTTTGTTAATAAGATGAATAATTTTATGCGGTGATTTACAATATGTTTATCGAAAATTTTTTTAAGCAATTAATTTATTGCTGATTCTATTCTATTCTATTCTAAAAATTATATTGATAATAAATAAATAGTGAATAGAAACTACCGAATATTATAAAAACAATTAAAAAAATAAATAAATTTTACCAAGGTGATTTAAGTATATAAACCGGAATTTTTAGTTTATGTGTCAATTTATCTCCTGTCTATATTTATCGAAATATTTGTTTTTTCGTTATTTTTATAATATTTATCTAAAATAAATAAATACAAAATATAAATATAAAAAAATAAAATATTTTTTTCTGCGCTTATTACGATATATTAATATGGAATTACCTATATTTCAGGTTTCGATGATGGAATAATTTGGACGAATCGTGTAGTTGCAAACTAGCTTATTTTAAAAGCATGCTTGCTACTATGAAAATAACTGACAGACCGATTTAACCTCATTTTCTTCCAATTAAATTATTTTTCTATAGTATTTTTTATAATCATATATTATATCACGAGAACTATGAATTTAATCGGTTAAACTAGGCTCAGTAGTTTTTTGTTTGGTTTTTCTTGGAAAATGTTGAATGCAAAATAATTTAATAAAATCACGAGACCGCGTAGCGGTCGAGGGGTCTTATTTTTAATTATTTTGCATGAAACTATTTTCCAAAAAGAAAAATCAAATAAAAAACTTACTGAACATAGTTTAACAGATTAAATTTATAGGTTGAGTGATATACGTCTAGATTATTTCTCGAATTAAAGGAAACTATTTGACAATTCATCCATATGACAGGTGACAGATGTCAAGTTGACAGATGACAAATAGCTGATGACAAATGACATGCGACAGATAAAAGGTGACAGATTATAGCGGCCGAAACTCAAGATGATGGAAAAGAAACAATTGGAAATCCAATTTTAGAAAAAAACTTTATCCGTTGGTAAGATCCCTTTTTTCTTAGTTGGTACCTAATACTTTTATTTCCACCTTATATGCATTAATAAAATTAATAAATAAACTATTTTTTTAGAGACAAACACAAAAAGTGGTAGGGTGAATAAAGTTGGCCCTCCAACATGGAAAAGAAGAAATTGTTGGACCCCAGCAACTAAAAAACCAGGCAATGAAGATATACCCAAAACAAGGTTACAACGAGATGTCTTAATGGGTGACAGAAACCCATACAGACCGAAACCAATCAAACCAATACCATTTAGGCCTGGCCCTCCAATAATACCAATAAAGCCAATCAAACCAATAAGGCCAATAAAAATATAAACACATTTCAAGACTCTTTACAATTTTATCATATAAAAAAAATATGTTTCTATTATAATTATAATACATAAATTATAAAGCATGCGTTTTTTAATTTTTACGTCCAGAGGGACACATTCTTGGTACCCTACTGCAAACCAACGGATTTAAACAAAGGTGTTTGTGACAAAGTAGACATATATTTAATTAAAAAATATTCTATTAATTTTTGTTATTTTTTCGTTCTTATTTATGAACTAAAGAGAGCCTTAATAGTATAATGATCCAGCTGTAGACAGTGTAGATAGCTTGAAGACAATGATGCAAACGTCGACCAAACAAAAAGCAACTAAAAAGAAGAATAAAATGGCACGTCAGCGTTTTTTTCAACCCACTTGATGAATTTGTTGGAAAACATTCTTCATTCCTTCAAACATTTTTTCAAGTTGAGATGATGTAGTGTCAATAGTAACATAGTAACTCAGAAACACTTGAAACAATTCCTCAAAATGGATATTGAAGCGATATTTTGTCAACAAATTTTGTATGCACTTGTCACATATTTTTTTAAATAATTTTTAAGGTTATTACTTTAAACGGTCCTGGTTGCAAGGGGCCTTACAACCAAGGGCCCTGCCTTCACTAGCACTAGTTACGGATCTGGGTCAGTGTTGTCAGATTTAGGCCTAAAATATCCCTAACAAGGTAGGCCCTTTCTGAATCGTAAAAAGATTATGTTCGAACACACACGACTATACTATATTTAAAGATCATTATAGTCGCCCCTTGTATGTATAAAAAAATCTGACATCTGTTAGACAGTTCCAATCTAACTTTTCCCAATTACACCCGATTGGTTCTAATCACAGTGAATATTGAAATCAGCCAATCACTGATGCCTTAAAACGTGAATAATGAGTTTATTATTTTTGTTGTTGGGCTTACTGGGCGGTATAATATATACGAAAACCGATTTACGGCTGATAATATAGCAAACTACAATGTACGTAACTTAGAGGTAGGTTTTTATTAAAATTAATTTAAAAAAACAATAACTTAATATTAAATATTTTAACCGCCAAAGTTGTGGGTAAATTGCAGTCCAACATTGGCATCAGGTCTCGTATTTCCCCACTTGGTGAAACTTTGACTTGCTCCTCCAAACGCCTCCAATTTGGTATTTCTATCGGGAGCCCAAAGGGTACGGGAAGCTTTAATGTCGGCTTGCGTACCCCAGCTAGGAACATGGGTGGCTGAAGCTTTAATATTCGTATCTGTAATCAAATAATTGTAAAACTGTGTTCTGTGTAATTATTGTGGTATATTACCGGATGGTATGTGATGGTACCCGATGGATCCTCCTCCTACCAATGGTCCGTTGGGGTTGAAATTTTTACTGGCGTGTCCACCACCAATGATCTCGTGATTACCTTTTGCCCAAATCGTTCCTTCTTGTCCTAATTGCACGTTGGTTCCTCCCGGACCTTTTGCCACGTCCCAAGTGGTGTCTCTGCGCAAATAAAACCATTAACAATCATTGTTCAGGTGGTAACACTGTATTTCTTACCTTTTTTGTCTTTGCATTGGCACCAAGTAAAACTGTTGTCCATCATCATCCTCAAAGATATCTAGTGGAAGGGCTGAAGCCCAGGCCAAAAAGGCAACAAACACTACATATGATTTCATTGTGTTGGTACTCGAGGAATTGACTTCGAATGATTTAAAATTGAATTTCACCGGAATTATATATACCTAGTAGCTGAGAAGTTTGAAATTGGGAATTACTTGTTTTGTTTATCCCCGTTTGTTACGAAGAATTCATTTTGTTTATCAGTGTGCGAATAAGTTTTGTAACCTTTTGTAAATAAGATGATTAATTTTGTGCGGTAATTTACAATAATGTTGACAATTTTTTAAAGTAATTAAGTTATTGCTGGATTCTATTGAGCACGAAATAGTAATAAAAATTATACCAAGAAACATTTTACCATACTTCTAAAAATTTTACTAATAATAAATAAGCACTATTAAATATTATAAAAATATTTCGAAAAATTTAATACGGATTATGATGAATATGGTATCAAGGTCATTTGAGTATATAAATCGTTATATCTCAGTTTATCTCCTTTGTTTATATTTATCGTAATATTTTTTATTTTCTTTATTTTTTCTAATATTTATTTAAAATAAATAAACATTTTTCCAATAAAAATAGTTATTTATGTCCGCGTAGCGGAGGCCTACAATTGAGCGAAGCACAAAAAGGCACTGCTTGGCCGAATGGCATACAACATTTTATCTTCAAAGCACTTTATATAGGTCAATTTAATTCAACATCAAAGCGGCCTAACCTCACTTTTTTAGAATCTCATTTATTTATTAGCCAAAGATTACATTAAATGTACAATAATTATTATTGCTTTTAGAAGCAGTAAGAGTTTGACAATACCTAGCTACATGATTTAAGTAGAAATGGATTTTTGCTATTACATTAAATTTAATTAATTGTTTAATAAATAGTTAGGTATCTAATTTCAATTTGTTTGGATTTTTATTTAAAAAATAGGTAGTTTGGAATGTTTAAGCTGTGTTTAACATTTAATTTCACTGAAAACTTAAAGCAAATTAAAACTTAAAGATAATTTAAATCGTAGAAAAAGAATCGTGCGTTTTCTTGGTTGCCTAACCTCACTTTTTGCTTTATTATTCATATTTAATTTAACAATAATTTAATGAAAAATATTAAACATTAACAGCAAAACAAACAAATTAGTGCTTATTATAAATAAATTAAAAATTTCTTAGAAAAGGATTAATTTGTCAAAACAATACCCCTAGCGAGAAAAAATCGAACTAATTACTTGCCTCATAAAATTTTTTATCGGCCTAGGCCATAAGAAGGTATTTTTTTATCGAATGTTGACAACAATAAAGTTTAAATTACAGACCGCGTGGAGATAAAATATATTTTTTGGTCTGCTACCATAAAAATAAATGTCAGACCGATCTAACCTCACTTTCTTCCAATTAAACTATTTCTCCATAGTATTTTTTTATAATCCTAGTAAAAGAATAGTCTAAAATTTATATATGCCGTTGTTTTAAAGATTTTAGTTTTTTTCTTATAAATATATAAAAAGGATACCTACTTTGTTTGTTTAAACTTTATTTACGTTTACTAAAAAATAAGAATATTTGAATTTTTAATATTAGTTTTATAAAAAAAAATGCAAAAAAGTATAGTAATTGGACATTTTATATAGTAATTGTACACATGGACCATAGTTATTGCACAAACAATTTTTATGTAAACATAACAACTTTACATCAAATAACATAAATTGTTAAATATTTTTTAAAGATAAATTGCTGTTTCAGGTAATTTTTTATTTCGTTTTTGTAAATATCATATAATTCATATATTTCTTTCTCGGATTCCTCATCCCTTTTCTGGTTTCTGAAGGTAACTACTAATTCCTTGGTCTGACTTATGAAATAGGTTGTTGCAAATATCATTAAGTGTGGTATCTCTAGTTTGTGAAGCATTTATAATGTTTAGGCCGGAACAGGATGATTTATA